ATTTATAATAATTATAATATTTGTGCCAATAATTACATGTAATACACTTTTAAAAAGAATTTAAAGATATGGAAGACGAAGTTTTTTTTCTTAAATGTCTTGCAATTTGATTTTAATAAAAGCTCATTATATTTTAATACAGCGAGATAATAAAAAATGGAGCAAAAGCATAATAATATTATACTTGACGTAGCTCATGAAATCTCATTATTACTTATATAGTCATAAACACAGTTTAAATACTGTAAAATTATGACTCCGTGTAGAATTCTCACATATACATACACATGTACGCCGGAGTAAATCTCCAAGAGAATACAGAATTAATTCGTTGCTACCCCGAACCGGGCAACACGTATAAATTGTACATTTACTCGTTACGCTAGTACTTAACGCGTGTGTAAGTTATAGAAGTATCATGACTGGAAAAAATGTAAGATAATTAAATATCTAGTAGATTAATTTTTGTGATTATATACTGTATCCTTGTATATTATGCAATTGCATAATATACAAAAATACATAGTTGTACGTAAATAATTCTGCAATTTATAAAAGTAAATCTGTTGAACTGCTCGGAATGAAGAGATATGAAAAAACTGCACACACGACGAATAGAAGGAACCCTGTTAAATCCACTCGCGCGCGATATCACGAAACTGAATTTTCGTCTGATCGCGAGTCACTTTGCAATAGCGTTTCACTCACACGTACGTACGCGTACAATACATCAACCGCAGGCACGATACGTACTCGCACGGCTGCGCGAGAATCCAACGATAAATCAGAAGTCCGGCCACTTGTTTTCTAGTTTTGCAGATTGCGAATTCGCGCAGTTTATCGGCACGGACGAGCCGAGTCCGAAGGAAGTGCCATTGCGATGGGATTAAACGGGACAGTAGGCATTTTTATGTGAGCGAAACTGCACGAAAATACTACTGCTGGATGACACGCGAATATCATGTATGAGAAGCGGAAATAAAGTCATAAATAAAAATTCTCTTATCAATTAAAATCAACAAATAGATTTTTATTATAGAATACAAAGAGATGCAACTCAAGATCTGTCCTTAATTATTTAGTCAATTTATGGATTGTTTGATTTAATGTTTGTTTAATACTTTATAACCTTTCAAAGCTGATATTGGATATTAATCCACTCAATTATAAATTTTTTTGTCAAACAATTCAATTTTCTTTATGTTACATCTGCAAATTTGAATTACTTTTACTAAAATATGTTTGGTATTCATTTTTTTATAGTTATGTCATTTTAATTTCTTGAAATTAATTAATGCTTTTTAATTAATATAAATTAAATGAGTTTTTTTTTACAGACATGGCATCAGTAACTATATTACAGATTTTGATGTTAAGGTTGAATTAAATATTTAAATTAAAGATACGCAATGTATTGTAAATATTTCATATAATTCCACAAGATCGCCTAAACTAATTTAAAAATTGTTTCAAAAACAATCCATGGGTTTTCCGTATAACAATGTCGATCTAGCGAGATTATATCAAAACTTTGTGTTCAATTTTATCGAAGAAAAATGATAGAGAGAAGAAAACTTTCTTCCGTCTCGGGAATGCTGTGAGGATAACCAATAATTGATCATCCTCCAATTAATTATTGGCATCTACTGATAAT